GCCCCCTCTTCCCCTCTGGGACTCGGATTTCCATCATGAATGCCCTCCCAACTCCGAGCTGGGGTGCTGCGCACTGAGGTTGGAGGGGAAGTTGGGAAGGAGGGGTGGTGCCTCTGGAGCTTGCTTTCTAGAGCTTGCTTTCTAGAGCAGAACCCAGGCCTGGGGCCTTCTGGTGAGGGATTTCCCTGTCTGCTCTGCCTGCCCTGGTGACAGTGAAGGGCTGCCAAGTTAGCCTGCTCAGTCATCTTGGCATGGGGCGGGGAGGGAGGAGGGGACTTTCTGAGCCTTCTCCATGTACAGGCCTGGCGGCGTAGGGGTTAGTTATATGTTGGGCTGCGAACCACAAAGCCAGACAATTATTTTCCTTGTGACTTCATCACTGTCATTTTGCTATTGTGATGCATCAGGCGGCGCCTGTGAAAGGGTCTTTTGCCCCCCCCCCCCCCCCAGGGGTTGCGACCCACAGGTTGAGAACCGCTGCTATAACGGCATTTCTGCCTGTCCTATTGGGGTGCTTCAAGTCTGAGTGGGCACCGTGGCAGTGAGCTTGTTTGGGCTTTGCTGTTTGCTCTGTGGGCAATGAGGCTCCCAACAGGGTGTGAGCCCAAAGGTTATTTACCCCAGGGCTGGGATCCCCACATTAGAATCAAGCATGGGGGTGCTGGGTGAGGTGGCCTGGACTTAGTTGCCAAGGGACACCTGCCTGCTTCTCACGAGGGCTTCTGCTCTGTTCAGCGAGGCAGAGCCTGCTCCCTGCTCCGAGGGAAACCAAGGGCACGGACAAGGAGAGGGGAGGGCTTAGGAAGGACTAGGTTCTCATGGGACCCCCCTCAGAATGGTGCCCCAGAAGGGGCAGCCTGATGCCAAGCTCCCCCTCCTGCCCCACCAATCCTTGCTTCCTGGCCACGTCTCCTTTCCCCCTGCAGGATGTGGACCTCACCTGTGCCTGTGGCCTCATCTTGCCCCTCTCCCCTCCTTTGCTCCTGTGCGGCACCAGCCTCCTTGAAGTGTCTGGATGCTGTCACACTGCCCCGCTGCCTGGCCAGCGTGGCAGCAGGCTGCCACGTCTTCCCACACACCCCTTCTGGAGCCTGCTGGCTCCCAAGCTGGAGACAACTCCAGGAACATGGGTCTCTGGTGGTTGGGGGGCGGGCAGAAGGAACGCTTCGAACCTAGGACGATGGGCTTATGTGTGCTCCTGAGAGGTGCCTCCACGTGTGACTGTCTGACTTGCTTTCTTAAGGTCTCGCCCTCCCGCTCCTCCTCCTCTTCCTCTGCAGTCAGGTCTCTGTGAGGTCCCTTACGTTACCCAACACCCTCCCACTGGCCTGCCCAGCACGAGGACCGCATGGAGCAGAGAATGAGGCCCCTTACACAGGACACTGGTCAGGAGAGGAGGTAGGACCCCTTGCCTGTGGCTGAGCACAGGAGCTGGAAGACCCAGGGGCGGGGAGGAGGGGGGCTCAGAGGCCGCCACAGACGTGCCCCAGTCTCTTGATCCAGGACCCCCCTCTAGGAGAGAACGCAGGGCCCGTGTGGCAGGGGGGTGGTAGGGGCCAAACACGTAGAACAGACTGTCGCTGGACGGAAGCACAAACACCGCGGCCTTCAAGGACAGGCAGGCAGCAGGATCCTTAGACGAGAGAAAGGCGAGACGCATGCTCACTTACTGGGGACGCAGAACCAGGGAAAGGTCCGTGCGGCCTA